AGAGCTGGATTGGAAGCGGCACAGTCAGGACTCGAACCAGTGCCCATATGGGATGTTGGTACTGCAAATGCAGCTTTACCCACTGTATCACAGTGCTGGCCCCAAAGTATCACATTCTTTTGGTGACATTATGTTGTCTTCCTATTCTTGTTTCTAGAATTGGTGCATTTATTGTTTGGCATTTGTGGAGATACTTGTTGGTTTCCACTTTCTCTTTTTTTGGGGGGTGTGTGGCAACTTTTATCTTTGGACTATGACTGTGAAGATAGTGGAAAGTCTACTTTTCAGTGAAAATCTAGAGGCTTATAGTGGGTTTGGCCAAAGAGCTCTGTTCAGTTCTCCAGGGATAAGGGCATGCGCAAGTTTGTGTTACATTTATTCGCTCTGTCCCAAGGGTCACACAAAGGATCTGTGCATTCCTCAGTGTAAGATCAGTTTCCCTAACAGTATCTCTAACAGGTAACCAGGAAACCCTGAGCATATGGAGTCTCCCATTGTAACTGCTCAAAGTCCTAGCCACACTGTGAGTCCTCCCACACACCCTGAGTTTTTTCCCTGTCCAAGTACAGAAGCCTCACACAGTCACAAGCTGTCGGCCCCCTGTTAGTTCTCCCCAGCAGAATCAAGAGTCTCCACTTGGCTGATTGATGGGTAGAGACACGAGCTGGCTCACCTGTGATGTATATCCAAAATCACACCCCTCTACTGACATGTTACAGGATGCTGTTGTAAAGTTATTGGGGAGAGAGAAACGTGTCCATCCCATTCTTTTTCTTTTTTTCCTGTAGTTTGGCTAGTACAGTATCTCCCATGTGGCTCCAAGCTTGGTTCCCTCTAGACTCTTCCTGCAGCTTTTTCACCATTGGCTGGTCTGCTGTGTTCTGGTCTCACTTCACTTTCCAGTGCTTGTCCATAGGCTCTTGGCTGAGTAGGCTGGAGTCCTGAGCCATGGGCGTCCATGCCTGCCACGTAGGTCCACCCTGTCTCTCTAATTTTGGTAGACTTTCCTCTGCCGTTTTCTCCCTAACTCTTCCCTGAGACTACCCTTTCCACATTTTTTAAACTATAATCTCCTGGGCTACAGCAGTAAGCTCCTCCCTGCTCTGCCATATTGGGACCGCCTATGGGTTCTAATAGTCTCTGAGTGGAGTCTTTGGATCCTCTATATACATAATCATGGCATCTGCAAATAGGGATAGTTTGACTTCCTTCTTCCTGATTTCTACCCCTTTGATTTCTTTTATTGCATAATGACGCTTGCTCAAACATACAGGACTGTATTGAATAGCAGTGATGTGAGAGGGAAGCAACCGTTTTCTGGTTCCAGATCTTAGTGGGAATGGTTACGACTTTTCCCATTCAGTAAGATGCTGGCCATTGGTTTGTTATAAATTGTCTTGCTTGTGTTGAGGAAAGCTCTTTCTATACCTGATTTGCTTCAGGTTTTCATCATGAAAGGGTGTTGTATTTTATCAAATGCTTTCCATGCTAATGATGAGATAATCATATGGTTTTTGTTCTTCAGTTTGTTAATGTGGTGTATCACATTGATTTGGGAATGTTGATAATCGCTGTACCAGGGATAATACCCCCTTTGTCCAGATGAATGATCATTTCTTATATGTTGTTGTATTCAATTGGCTAGTATTTTAATGATGGTTTTTTTGTGTGCTTATCAGGGACATTTGTGTGTAATTTCTCTCTTGTATCCTTTTCTGATTTAGGAATTAAGGTGATGCTGTCTTCATGGAAGGAGTTTGGAAGGCTTCCCTCTCAGTTGTTTTGAATAGCTTGAGAAGAATTGGTTTTAGTTCTTCTTTGAATGTCTAATAGAATTCAGCAGTGGAACTGTCCAATCCTAGGTTTTTCTTTGTTGGGAGTATCTTCATTACTGATTCAATTTCTTTTTTGTTTATTGGTATGGTTGCTTTTTTGTGTGTTCCTGGGTCAATTTTGGTGGGTTGTGTGTGTCCAGGAATGTTTTTCTTCTAGGTTTCCTGATTTGTTGGGCTATAGCTCTTTGTAGTAATTCCTGATGAGAAGTCAGCTGTGAGTCTAATTGGAGATACTCTGATAGTAATCTGATATTTTTCTTTAGCACATTTTGGAGTCTTCTTTATGTTTTACTGTGGAGCATTTGACCACAATATGTTGTAGAGAAGGTCTTTTCTGGTCATGTGTATTAGGAGTGCTGTATGGCTGGCGCCATGGCTCAGTAGGCTAATCCTCCCATTGTGGCACCGGCACCCTGTGTTCTAGTCCTGGTCAGTGCTCTGGATTCTGTGCCATTTGCTCTTCTTCCAGTCCAGCTCTCTGCTGTGGCCCGGGAGTGCAGTGGAGGGTGGCCCAAGTGCTTGGGCCCTGCACCCGCATGGGAGACCAGGGGAAGGAACTGGCTCCTGGCTTCAGATCAGCATGGTGCCTCATCTGCAGTGCGCTGGCTGCAGTGGCCATTATTGGGTGAACCAATGGAAGAAGGAAGACCTATCTCTCTGTCTCTCTCTCTCTCTCACTGTCCACTCTGCCTGACAAAAAAAAAAGAGTGCTGTGTGTTTCCTGTACTTGGACATCACTTTCTTTCTCCAAATTCGGGAAGTTTTCTGTAATTATTTCACTAAAAGGCCTTCTAATCCAATCTCCCTCTCCATGCCTTCAGTAACCCCTAAGACTCTATATATTGGTCATTTGATAGTATCCCATAAATCTCCAACCCTATTTTACGTTTTTCTAATTTCTTCTTTTTGTTTTACTCTTAATTTTACAGAGATTTGCCTTATGGAGTCTGTTGTTAAGGCTTTCCATCGCATTTTTTAAATTTGATCTATTGTACTCTTCATTTCTAATATTTAATTTTGATTTTTCTTTCAAATCTCAATTTCATGGGAAAATTTTCATGCATATCAGTTACGGATTTATTTAATTTGTGGTTTTGCTTCTGATTACTTCTGAGTAAGCCTACAGTTAATTTTTTGAAATATATTCCCTGAATTTTATGAATTTCTTCACCTTCCAATATTGCAGTGTTGTGTTTTTTTTTCGGGGGCATCATGTTATTTTCTTTATTCTTGTTTCTTGAATTTCTGCATTTTATATTTATGCATTTGTGGAGATACTTAATTTTTTCCCTCTGATGGCTTTTATTATTGGACTGTGTCTCAGTGGAGTGTCTGCTGTTTCAATGAATACCCAGAGGTGTGTGCTGCTTGTGACTAGGCAGCTCTGGTCACTGCTCCAGGGTGGGACCAGTGTCCAGGATGACACCCATATTGGGCATGTTAGATCTCCTCTTGTTAATAGAAAAGAGGATATGGTCACTGCTGTTGGCATAATCACGCCCTCACTCCTCTTTTCCAAGGTGAGAATAACCCAGGTGTTAGCCCTCAGTGGGTACTATTCTGTTCTGTGGTTCTGCATGAATGGCACAAAGGATCTGTGCAGTCTTCAGTGTGAGCACAGATCCTGCTGCAGTGACCCACCCCAGGCAGCCAGGGTGCTGAGCTTGTGGAGCTACACACAGTAATCTCCCAGAAACGCAGCTACACCAGGCACCCTCTCCTGCATGCATGGGTTCCCACAGTCTCAGTACCAGGGCTCCCATAGACACAGGGTGCAGAAGATCCACACCACCCCACTAACCTGTTCTGTCCATGGAGAAGCTGAGAACCAGTTGCCTAGGGGTGCTCCACTTAGGCAGTTTGAGCTGCAGAGCCTGCATTATGTTGAGAGGCTAAGGCTCGTGATAGTCATAGGTGCATTTGCAGCCCCCTGTCAGTCTTTCCAGCCAGACTGAAAGTCGTTGGGGAACACAGATTTTTCCCTGTGGTGAAATCCCTGGTCATACATGTCCACAAGAGCTACTGGCCACAGCACTGCTTGTTTCACAATCATGCTTCTCCCCGCCAGTTTATGGACACTTAGAAGAGTCTCTGGAGCTAGTGATGATGTCGGAATGGCTCCTTCTCCCTGCCTGTTGCTGGGTGTGTGCACCTGGGCTGTTGCTACTTGAGACAAGATGGCGCCTTTTCCCTGACTGTTGCTGGGAGCCTGCATGAGAGCTGTTGCAGCTACTAGCATATCCAAAATGGTGCCTGCCCTCTCTGAGCTGCTAGTCAGGGTCTGTTGTGAGGGGATGGGGAGAATTGTCTCTTCTGCTGGGGTAGAGGATACCCTGTTACTCACAGGGTCCATGACATATACAAGACAGTCTGCTAGGCTGTCTCTGCAGCTATTTCAGCAGTGGCATGGGCCACTGCAGTGTGATCTCACCTTGTTCTTCAGAGCCGGCACTTTCTCCAGCTCTCACCTGCTGGGTCTTGTGTTGTATCAGTGCTTGTTGCAGCTTCCACACAGATCCACAGCATCTCTCCTCCTCTTACAGAATCTGCACTCTCCCCTGGGAATGCACTTTCTCTGCCTTTTTTCCTATTTTATCCTAGCCTATAGCAGTCCTCCTTTTCCCTATTCCTCTGTATGGAATCCCCTCTGAGAATTATCTTGTTTTTTTTTAATCTTCTCAAAATTTTTGAGCATGTGTTGAAATGTAATACTCTGTGTGTTGTTATTTAGGAGCAGAGATGCTGGGAGCTGACTAGATCATGAGGGCAAATCTGAGAATGCTGTCACTGCCCTTATTTTTTAAAAAAGGTTTTATTTCCTTATTTGAGAGGCAGAGTTACAGACAGAGAGAGGGAGAAACAGAGAGAAAGTGTTCCTTCTGCTGGTTCACTCCCCAAATGGCCACAATGGCCAGAGCTGAATCAATCTGAAGCCAGGAGCCAGGAGTTTATTCCAGGTCTCCCAGGTGGGTGCAGGGGCCCAAGGACTTGGGTCAACTTCGACTGGTTTCCTAGGCCAGAGAAGAGAGTTGGATCAGAAGTGGAGCAGCTGGTACTCAAACCCGTGCCAATGTGGGATGCCAGGCCTGAAGGTGGCTTTACCCACTATGCCACAGCACCCTTTTAAGAATGGCTTGATGGAGCAGCTTGTTTATACCTTTGCAGTTCTGCCATATGACGGTGCACGGACATTAGCCACCGAAGCTTCACCAGACACGGAGTCCCCTAACACTGTGACCTTGGACTTACCAGCCTCCAAAAGAGTGAGTAATAAATCCCTGTTGTTTATAAACTTCCCAGTGTAATGTGTTTTCTTACAGCATCCAAAATGGACTAAGATGGAGTAATAATCTGAAAAGTTTAGAAATGGGTGGGCATTGAGGCACAGCAGGTTAAACTGGCATTTGGGTTGTCAGCATCCTACATCAACCTGCCTGTTGTGAGTCCCAGCTCCTCCATTTCCAATTCAGTTTCCTGGTAATTCCTCGGGAGGCAACAAACAATGGCCCAAGTGCATAGTTCCTGCCACCGACATTGGAGACTGAGATGTAGTTCCTGGCTCCTGGCTTCTGCCTGGCCCAGTCCTGGCTTTTGGGGGCATTTGTGGAGTAAGTCAGTCATGAGGTAGAGGCTCTCTCTTTGTGGCTCTGTCACTCTGCCTGGCAAATGAACACATAAACCTTATGAAAAACATCGTTGATGACATGACTTTGGTAAATGCTTCATCAAGTAAGAAGTTGAAGTAAGAAGTTTAAAAAGTAAAACATGGGGCTGGCACTGTGGTATCACGTACAAGCTCTGGTTCAAATCCTGGCTGTTCTACCTCTGATCCATCTCCCTGCTAATGCACCTGGGATAGTAGCAGAGGATAGCTCAAGTGCTTGGGAAGGGGCAAGGGGCAAGGGGCAAGGGGCAAGGGGCTCCTGGCCTCATCCTGGCTTCAACCTTGGCTGAACCCTGGCTGTTGTGGCCATTTGTGGAGTGAAGTGAGCAGATGGAAGATCTCTTTTCCTGTCTCTCCCTCTCTGTATGTAACTATTCCATTCAAGTAAATACAGTAAATAAAGTAAATCTTTTTTTTTTAAAAAAAGGGTAAAAGAAACAGAAGCCCTAGTTTAGTGGGAAATAAGCAACAGGTATGAACAGCTGAATGGAAAATGACCATTTACCCATATAGCATAAATTTTAAAGTAATCACAGATCATTAAAACTATACTAGTATAATGTTCTTTATTTTTAAATTATTTTTAAAATAAATTTTCATGAATTTCATAGGTGCTGTTCCAGGAAGACAGCCACATTCTTCTCTCCCCCGTCCTCTCCCTCCCTTGTCTCTCTTCTTTTCATTATTTTTATGAGGTATAGTTTTAATCCACTTTATTATTCACAGTCTTAATTCACCACTATCCATAGTATTCAACAAGGAAAGGTAGGAAGACTACAGTTCCACAAGAGTAGTATAATTGTCTTAACCATAGGTTTGACAAGGTTATAAAACAAAGTTTTGAGCAATAGTGATATACAAAAGCATTCTTTATGATTTTGTGTTTTGATTTTAAAAATGTTAGCTTCCACATATAAGAGAAGACATGTGATATTTGTATTTCTCTGGCTGATTTCACTAACTGATGTCCTCAGTTGCATCCAGTGTTGTTATTTTTTTTTTTGACAAGCAGAGTCAGACAGAGAGAGAGACAGAGAAAGAGTTATAGACAGTGAGAGCGAGAGAGAGAAAGGTCTTCCTTCCATTGGTTCACTCCCCTAAGGGCCGCTACGGCCGGCGCTGTGCCGATCTGAAGCCAGGAACCTGTGTGCTTCCTCCCTGTCTTCCATGAGGGTGCAGGGACCCAAGCACTTAGGCCATCCTCCGCTGCCCTCCTGGGCCTCAGCAGAGAGCTGGAATGGAAGAGAAGAAACCGGCACTAGTACCCGGTGCCCCAACTGGGACTAGAACATGGGGTGCCGGCGCCACAGGCGGAGGATTAGCCAAGTGAGCCTTGGCACCGACCAAGTGTTGCTATGTTTTATACCTGAATAAAACTTCCATTATAGATATATACCATATTTTTCTTATGCATTATCTTGCTGTGTCTGTTGTGAACAGTGCTGCAAAAAACATGGTGGTGGAGGTATCTCTTTGATACATGATGCTAATACCTTATATGTATAAACCCAGTGGGATTTCAGGATCATATGACAAATTCCTTCTGGTTTCTTAAGAAATCTGCATACTATTTTCCACGGTCCTTGAACGAATTACATTCCCACAGATGGTGTACCAGAGTTCCCCTTTTTTCATATCCTCTCATCATTTGTTATTCTATATCGTGGATTTTAACAATTAAGAAAAGGCGGTTATTTATCATTGCAGTTTTGATTTGTATTTCCCTGTTGGCTAGTGGTGTAGAGCATTTTTTCCAAGATTTGTTAGACATTTGTATTTCCTTAGAGAACTGTTTGTTGAGTTCCTTTGGCCACTTTTTAACTGGTTGTTGGTTTTCTGTTGTTCTTGTTCTCTTTTTTAAGTTGCTGATGTACTCTGATGATTAATTCTTTATCAGATAGTTAGCTTACAAATATTTTTCCTCATTCTGTTGATGATTTCCTTTGCTGTGCAGAAGCTTTTGACTTGCATATAATGCCATTTGTTTAGTTTTGATTTTGTTGCCTGTGCTTTGAGGGTCTTGTCTAAGAAGTCATCCCCTCTCCAGTGTCTTGGAGCATTTCTTCTGCAGTTGCTTCCAAAAGCTTCATAGTCTCAGTTCTTAAATTTTGGTCTCTGACCTATCTTTGTTCTGTTTATTAAATAAATAGATTCTTTCCCTTGATCAATTAATGCTCGTCAGCACATTTTTTAGAGGAAAGTGGCTTGATGAATGCATCAAATAAATATATACAAGATCATTTACTTTGCTATTTCATAAAAATTGGTTTTATTGCTGTACATAATTTTCATCAACCATGTAGGAAATGCATCCATAACAAAATCCCTTGTGATGTTACTTTATCATTGCTAAAGGCAATGTGACTTTGGTAAAGAATAACGGAGTTTTACAAAAATTCATTGCATGTTCAAAATCTCTACTTCATGCATTTAATGTATTTTAGAGGAAGACACATAGTTATCAGAGTACATGACTTCTGCCAAGAGAACTTTCCAATTTACATTCCTCTTATTTTGTTTTACTAGTTGAACTTCCAAATATTTTGTTTCTTAAATTTTATTAGTAGATCATGTTTCCTAAATAGAAATACCTGAAATAGACAGGCATTAAGACCAGATTCAATTTATAGCAGAAACGTTAGATTTCAGTCTCTTTCAAGCAAATATATTTCATACATCCATGTAACCACCCATTCAGTTTCATTGTCTACAACACTAGTGGGTAAAATACACTGCAGCCAAAATAATATATTTGAGATTTTAAGAATTTGAATGTCAGACTTCCGCTCTCCAGGCAAAAAATTAGATGTGAATTCCCTCAGAAAATGACCAAGCTAGGAGGAAAGATAACAAGATAACAATACTGCAGACTTCCCAAGGAAATAGTCTGCCTGCCTTGTCCTGGCAAACCTAAGGCAGCTCAGCAGCAGTCCAAGAGAAAATGTTCATTGCAGACTGGGGAACGAGGAGTCTCACACACTGCGGAATGGGGAGTCACACAGATCTGATTGAATGGTTTGTCTGCCTCAGGTGGACTGCCCTTAATGAGAAACCACTACAGAGTTTTTGGTTTGTTTGGGGGATTTGTTCAATTATTTGAAAGTCAGTTACAGAGAGGGAGGGAGAGACAGAGATTTTTTTTTTAACTTTTATTTAATGAATATAAATTTCCAAAGTACTGCTTATGGATTACAATGCCTTCCCCCCCATATCGTCTCTCCCACCCGCATCCCTCCCCTTTCCCACTCCCTCTTCCCTTCCATTCACATGAGGATTCATTTTCGATTCTCTTTATATACAGAAGATCAGTTTAGCATACATTAAGTAAAGATTTCAACAGTTTGCTCCCACACAAACATAAAGTGAAAAATAATAGATGATTTTTTAAATGATGATGAAATCAGATCAGACCTATTGTCATGTTTAATCCCAGTGAGAGTCAAGTTGGGAATTGATAATTTCTTCTTCTTTTTTTTTTTTTTTACAGAAGATCAGTTTAGTATACATTAAGTAAAGATTTCAACAGTTTGCACCCCCATAGAAACACAAAGCGAAATATACTGTTTGAGTACTCATTATAGTATTAAGAGACAGAGATCTTTCATCCACTGGTTATAAGAAGCCAGGAGCCGGGGGCCCCATGTTGTCTCCCCACAAGGGTGACAGAGGCCCAAACAATCGACCCATCCTCAACAGCTGTTCCCCAGGCCTCTAAAAGGGTGCTGGATCAGAAGTGGAGCAGCCAGGGCAGGAATTGGTCTGATCAATGGATGCCTGCGCCACTGGTGGCCCTACCCACTACACCACAGCACTGGTATCTGGCCTTACTGTTTTTGACCATACTTGTAAGAACAGTCTTCTGAGAAGTGCACGGCTGCCCCATCTCAGTTGATTTTTATAAATGATGAGAGATATGGATCTAATTCCATTCTTCTACACAAATATATCGAGCTTTGCCAGCACCATTTGTTGAAGAGATTATCCTTATACCAATGAATGGTCTGAACCCTTTTGTCAAAAATCAGGTGGCCATATGTATTTACATTAACTTTGGGATTCTCTGTTTCGCTCCATGGGTCTATGTCTCATTTTTTTTTATTGCCAGTCACATGATGTTTTAATTAGTGTAGCTTTTTAGTATGCTGTGAAGTCAGGTATTGTGATGTCTCCAGCTTGATTTTTATTTACTCAGGATCACCTTAGCAATTCTGGATCTTCTGTGGTTCTGTATGAATTTGAGTTTGTTTTTTCTAATTCTGTAAAGAATGTCATTGGTATTCTGTAGATTTCTTTATGAGATAGACATTTTAATGATTTAGATTCTTCCAATCCACAAAAAAAGGAATACCTTTCCAGTTTTGTGTCCTTGATGGTTCTTTGGTCAGTGTTTTATAATTTTCATTATAAAGATCTTTCATTCATTTGATTAAATTTATTCCTAAATATGCTAATTTTTGTGGTTATTGTGAATTGGATTTTTGTTGCTCTCTTTGTCAGTGAGGCCATCGTTAATATGTAAAAAGGCAGCTATTTTTGTCTATTTATTTGTATGTAACCTTTACTGAATTGGATTATCAGTTGAAGCAGCATTTTGGTGGA